AATAGTAATTTTGTCAATAAAGAGCATCCCAGGCCTCTATACAGAAGAATATAATTTGCCAAAACTAATACCAGATTTGAAGTCTTTTGAATATAGATTGCCTTTATTTCTCCACAACATCTATGGTAAAATACTCAGTGTAAAAACAACAAAATTTCTTGGTAAGTTAGAGTATAAAGCTGTTGTATACAGAGCAGTAAACTTAGGAAGTGGAGATGCTAGAGCAGGTTGCCTGAGAGCCTGGTGCTGTGCCCAGGAGGATAGAGACCCAGCTTCACTGAGAACACCTTGGTGGATTTAAAACCAGAGGTTCTGTTATTGTCACCTTCCCAACAAGCCATAGTTACAGGTGAATTGGCTCTTGCTTTTCAGAGATGTAAGATTTTCTTTCATGTAAGAAAATGTAAGTTTTTCTTTCTCCTTTGCCCCCTTGGGTGAAGGATCTATTGGTATAGTAGTCAATAGTAGTCAAGTTGGTCTTCAGGATCTATTTGGTATGGTCATCAATCAGTTTTCTACCTAACCTCTATTTTCCCACATAAGTGAATCACATCTCCAAGTAAATCATAATATCTGTAGCTGTATTATAGTGTTGAATTTTAAAAGCATGAGAGGGTGGCAGTCAAGTGGCATTCACCGTCATTGTAACACTTACCATGGTGTCTCTGATTGTAGAAACTCACCAGCAAGAAAACACTGATATCCAACATTGAGATTTCTAGTTCTTTGGATTTAGAGAACTCCTATAAGTATAGAACCCAGGGTACCATAGACAGGGATTCTTTTTTTTTTTTGAGACAGAGTCTCACTTTATCGCCCTTGGTAGAGTGCCGTGGCGTCGCACAGCTCACAGCAACCTTCAACTCCTGGGCCTAGGCGATTCTCTTGCCTCAGCCTCCCGAGTAGTTGGGATTACAGGCGCCTGCCACAACACCCGGCTTTTTTTTTTGTGTTGTAGTTTGGCCGGGGCTGAGTTTGAACCTGCCACCCTCAGTATCTGGGGCTGACACCCTACTCACTGAGCCACAGGCGCCGCCCCATAGACAGGGACTCTATGTAGACAATGGAAGTGCACTAGCCTCACATGTAAGGTCATTCTGGAAAGTAGAACAAGGAGATAGATTTTTTATTTTTTATTAAATCATAGCTGTGTATATTAATCCAATCATAGGGTACAGTGTGCTGGTTTTATATACAATTTGAAATGTTTTCATCAACTGGTTAGCATAGCCTTCACGGCATTTTCTTAGTTATTGTGTTAAGACATTTATATTCTACACCTAATAAATTTCACATGTGAGATAGATTTTTTAAACCGTTACACATGAGACTTCCTAGGGAAAGAAGCTTGCATGGGCTGCTTTGTGGGAACAGGTATTCTAAATTAATAATGTTTGGCAATGACTGGAGCTAGGTGAAGATCCTGGCTTACAGGATTTTGGCTTACAGGAAATGCCATATTAAAATAAATGGAACCTGTTTATCTTTAGTAAAGTTATTAAAGACTGGGTGTGTGTGTGTTCTTGTGTTGCTCCATTGGTTAAATCATTGAACAGACAAATAGAACTATTGAGAATGATTAACAAAATGGATTTTTTGCTTTCTTTAGCTGTATGGCTTTTCGGAAAGGATGTATATCTAAATTAGGGTAATGTTTGGTCATGAAACACTTTTTTTTTTTTTAACCAGTCATCTTTTATTTGGAGGTTAATTCTCACTAAGATGTGAAAAGATTTGATTATGATTGAGTTCCTCACAGAAGGTGCTGGGCCACGGAGGTCAAGGTCAGGAGTGCAAAAGGCACCCCCCCCCCCATGAGCCCTCTCTTCAGTGGTACTTGCGTAGCCGCTCACGTTTGAGCTCCTTGTAAGAAAGACAGTAGCTGAAAAGCACGTAAGCTGCCAGCACCACGGTAACCCCACCGAGGCTCCCTTCTTCACGTTGATGTACTTGTTGTAATACTGGTGGTAACCTCTTTGAAAGGCTCCAACAGTGCCATTAGGCATGAAATCCCGCATCAAAATGCAACTTGGCAGCTCCCCTAGTTTGACATCCATGAGTTTCTTCTCCTTCACTGACACTGCTGACACCATCTTGGAGCTCTCTGGTCGTGAGACATTTGATAAACTTTGATTTTTGCGTTGAAAGCAGTTCTGTTAAAAAAGGTGAATGACGGAGTTCATATTTATTAAATCTGTTCTTAAAATACCTATTTGGATATTATTGAGGACATTCATGGATGTCCGTTTTGTGTCCTCTCTAGAGAAACTTGAAGGATTGGGCTGAAGCATTTTTGTATTGTGATATTTGGGAGCTGATATTTAAAAACTGTAAAGTTTGTTATTAACTGCAGTATAATATTTTAAGATTCATTTTTGGTTCATTGTTTGGTTCATGTTTACTTATTTTACACATCTGACAGTTTTATTCTAAAGAAAGTTCTCTGCTCCCATCAGTGCTCTAGACTGGCGGAAGACCCTTTCTCCCTGGTGACTTTTCCTCTTCGTGGACCTCTTTTACCCAAGGCCTCTAGCAAGTATCACCCACCTACTTCCCCTGCCTTTATTTTATAGGTTTTCTTTGCAGGTACACAAGAAGCAATCCCGTGTGCCAACTTTATTGATACATCCCGCACTTACCTGCCACTTTGTCCATGTTCATTCTCTCCTTAGAACACCTGCCTTCCTCATCCCATCTATCTTTAGCTTGCAGTGTCCAGTTAACATGCCTCTTTTCCTATTAACTTGCCCTTTGCCCCCCACTCCTGTGACTAAAGTTTAATCCTTTAATCTTTAATCTCCACACAGCCCAAGGCCCCCGTTTCTACCTGAGGCACATCGTGTGTACTTGTTAGTGTGTTAATCCATTGCAGGTAGCCATGGTGATCTATAAGAATAAATAGATGAGGTTAATTACAACAATTTTTTAAAAAATGGTTACTAATGAAGGAATTTGAAGGAAAAAGGAAATTCCTCACCAGCTACTAATAGTCTTTATTAGAACGTGATTTCAGTACAAAATTTGAAATATCAGTTTTGGTTTCGGTACAAGATTTGAGATGAAGGGACACTATTAAAGCTTCTTTTACGTACAATAACTTCTTCTATAGTAAAACATCAGAACTCAATAGAGAAGTTATTGGTTATTAATGCTAGGAAAATTGGGTATTGGGAAAGTAAGTGTATATTCATCTTTAATTTGAATAAATTTCAGAAGGAATAAGTAGATAAATGTTAAAAAAGAAAACATAAAAAAATAGGTAAAAACTAATGATGGGATGTATTTTTATTTATTTATTTATTCATTTATTTTTGGCCAGGGTTGGGTTTGAACCCGCCACCTGTGGCATATGGGGCCAGCGCCCTACCCTTTTGAGCCACAGGCACCACCCCTAATGATGGGATTTAAAAAGAATTTTTTTAACCTGAAGGCAAAAGTAATGCCAGAATGTTTTTACTATCAGTAAGAAAGATTGAACTTTAATGCTTAAAGTTGGTAAGAGTATGACAGAGTGGAAATCCTATGTATTACTGACAGATGTATAGATCACTGAACGTTTTGAGAATAGAAAGTTTTTATTGAGCCAGTAATTCCTACTGATCTATCCTAAAGTAATTGAGAGGCATATTGTATTAGTCATTTATTGCACTATAATAAATCACTTCACAGTTTAACAGCTTAAAACAACAAGCATTTATTGCCTCATAGTTTCTGTTAGGAATCCCTGTGCAACTAGCTGGGTGTCTCTGACTCAGGCTCCCTCATAATTCTGCAGTCAAAGTGTTGGCCAGGGCTGTAGTCACCTTAAGGTTTGAATAAGGGAGGATCCACTCCAGGCTCACTCATGTGATTGTTGGCCTGCCTCAAGTCTTTCCTGGCTGTTTGCAAGACATCAGTTGACACATGGGCCTCTTCATAGAGCTACTGATAATCATGGCACCTTACCTGCTTCAGGAAGAGATAGAAGTCTTATTCTTTCTGGAAGTGACGTCTCATTTCTACTGTAGTCTGTTTGCTAGGAGCAACTAGTCTAGCCCACAAATTCATAATAGCATGCGTACAACTAATGAAGCAATTTAAATGTTCTATAGCAGGAGTGATTAAATTGTGCTGCATCCAAACAATGGCTATGATTGTGTAATAGTGATAATTTCTACCTTTTTTGAGTTTCAGTCATATACTAGGCATTTCATAGGTATTTAAGAAGTATTTCTGACTCTTACCGCAACTACGTCAGGTAGGGGTTATTTTCATTTTATAAGTTAAAAAACTGATATTTAGAGGCAGCCTAGTTCCTTGAATTTTCAGCATGCCATTCTAGGGTTACCTGGCTTCAGAGCCCAGCAATTACTCTGCCATTAAAGTGAAGAATATTTAATAACATGAGTATGTCTTATAAAAATGTTTTACACCATGATCAATGTGTGAGTTTTATTTGTATGTGAGAAAAAAAATAGTGACAAATGTTATCTTTTAATGGTAGAATAGAAATTAAAATTTTCTTTAAACCTTTATTTCATTCGAAATCTTCTCCATTATAGATATGTTCTATTCTTGGCTCGGCGCCTGTGGCTCAAGTGGCTAAGGCGCCAGCCACATACACCTAAGGTGGCGGGTTCGAATCCAGCCCAGGCCACCAAACAACAGTGATGACTGCAACCGAAAAAAAATAGCTGAGTGTCATGGCGGATGCCTGTGTTCCCAGCTACTTGGGAGGCTGAGGCAGGAGACTCACTTGAGCCCAGGAGTTTGAGGTGGTTGTGAGCTGTGATGTCACGGCACTCTACCCAGGGGGATAGCTTGAGGCTCTTTCTCAAAAAAAAAAAAAAAAAGATATGTTCTATTCTTTATAATCATTTTTAAAAGTAAGAATACTTTGTAAAGTATTTCATCTCTACTCCCAGGGAAAAACCACTAGCAAAGCTTATACACACATTTTTATGTTGAATTGAATTTTATTTGGTAATGAATCATTCATTCCCTTTAATCTACTCTTCTAGATCACTGAGCTCTCATTACCCAACTATCTGATGGCATCTTCGGTTGGACTGCTTCCTACCCAGCTTCTGAATTCTTACTTGGGTACCACCCTGCGGACAATGGAAGATGTCATCGCAGAGCAGAGTGTTAGTGGGTATTTTGTTTTTTGTTTACAGGTGAGTTTAAGTATAAGGGTTGTCTCTCTCTCTTTTTTTTTTTCTTTTTCTTTTTTATTGCATTGCTGATTTAACAAATTTCATTGAAAATAAGAGGGTTTTTCCTTTTTAGATTTTTACCTTCTTTCAGAACCAGTTTCATATTTTGACAACATTAAATATTTTTAATTGTGTGGGTATATGGAAATTTGTAGAACGGAATTGATACATGTGAAAACCTCAAAGAGGGATAAAAAGGAATGACAAAGAGTTATTTTTGTAGTGATTTACTTTTTAAGTCATCACAGATCAAATACTGTATTTTGACTTTGTATACAGTGTTTCTTAAGGTAATTTTATTGAAATTGAATGGAGTTGGATTTTTAATCTTACTACTTTATATTCAAATTACCAAAATTCTTCTTTTTGTATATGCTTAGAGTCTGTGTTGTGCTGACAATATAAATTTCTTCCTAATATAATTTGACTTGGAACAAAAATTTGTTTTAAAAAATATTTCCTTATTAAAAAATGCCTAAAGTTTTCCATTACAAATTCAAATATTGAATTTGCAAATTGTAATATGGTGTCCATGTAAGAAGTTGATGAAAAAGGAGAATATTTCCATGTAGAGAAATTTATTCAGGCCCTTTAAATTGCTTACATAAAGAGTTAAGAATTCATTTGTGATACATTTTATTTCTGGGATTTTTCAAAAATCTCATGAATTTTTGGTGAATTAAGAAGACAATGATGATAGCTAACCTTTATTCCATGCTTTATACGGCACATAGTTACTCATTTAGTCCCTACCAAATGACTAGGCGGTGCAGACTTCTATCATTGTAGCCAGTTGCATACATCATTTTTCAGCTCTGTGTTCAGTACCCTCACACTGGTAGCTTGAAATTGGTCATGGCCAGAATATTTATGCCATGGGAAATGGCAAATCTATAAATCATGCCTCTGACCAGACAATTACTTGTTTAAAGTCACAGCTGTAAGTGGTAGAGCCAGGATTTGAACCAAGAGATCATGCTCATAACTTATAGGATAGAGTCAGTATTCCATATCCAGCAGTTACACTTGCTAATTCAGCTGAATCCAGACAAAATACATAGGTAAAAATAATAGATAAAAAATAACAATATAGTGATTAAAAACATTACAAATAAAAGAATATATTATAATAGCTACTTACATGGCATTTATAATTGTATTAGACATTATAAGTAATGTAGAAATGATTTAAAGTATATGAGAGGATATGTGAAGGTTATATGCAAATACTACACCATTGTATGAACGGGTCTTGAGTATCTGCACAGTTTGGTATCCATGGGGCTCTTGGAACCAATACCCTTGGTGAATAGCCCATGGACACAAGTATAGTCTTTTAGCAGATAATAGTAATGAGACAGTCTTACAGACTTCTGGTCCTTTAACTTGTTTTAATTTATTCTGTTACTCAGTGTATGGTACCATATACAGACTTGCTCTTGGTGGCACTCTCAAGTTGTTCAGGTGCTATACTGTGTTAAAAATACTATGATATTAATCTGAAATAAAAATAAAGAATGAATAAATAAATGAATACATTTTAGAACTATGATAAAATCAAGAGTTCATTTTCTTTATTCTTATGAAGTACAAGTTAAGTAAATAGAGTAAGCCCACAAATACTTACATTGGAATATTGCTTAAATAAAGCTTTTCAATTAATGGGTTTGCTTTGAGAAAAATTTTGTATTATTTTTGACATGTGGGGAGTTCTTATTTTTCTTTACTAATTTTTTTCTCAGAGAAGTATTTTTTCTAGCTAACAAAATCCAGGTTGAGTTTCTGTTACAGTTGGTATATTGGTATTAACATGGCATGCTAATCATATAATGTTAAAGTTTCTATACATAAATCTGTAGCATAATACGTATAGTACTTTCACATTTATGATTATCCCGAGGTACTATAATATTTTGGCATACACTGCATTCTCAGATAGATTTAAGTATAAGTTTTAGTGTGTTTTATGTTTTTAATTCCCTGGAAGTGAATAATCTATTTGAAACATCTTTTTTTCTCCTTGACAGTACGTTTGAGTAAATAGAATTCTTCATTATTAGTAGCTTAAAGAGGATTTTCACTACTTGAAACTTTGTATGTTTTTGCATCTTGGTAAATTACTCAACTGTAATCGATGATGTTCATAGTGCTTTTTAAACTATAGGATCTTCTTTTATCCAGAAATTTCTTGCTCTTTGTTTAAGCTGGCAGATTTAAGCATAGGATACATGACCAGGGTTGGTGGGCGGGCGGTGAGGCACATATTCTTTAGGTATTTACCAAAAATAAGTAAGGAGAGGACACAGTTCTGTTTCAGTTTATTGATGTTAGCCTTAGCTTGATTTAATTCAGGAAAGAATTAATGCATCTTACAAAATATATACAGAAGAATAAAAAGAGGGTAAGAAGTCATTTAAAAGGGGAAAATTAGCTTAGGAAAAAAAGAGGAAGTTTCAGTTAAAGCTGGTAGAGTAAGTATGTAAGTATATTCATGAGTTTCCTCCCACTTGGTAGAAATGAGCCACAAACTTGCTTCTGGGTTTTGTAGCCACATCTAAAGAGAATCCAAAGTATCCGTAAAATTAAAGCAATACAAAGTAGGTTCAGAAGAAGCCACAACTATTAATATTTCTTGGACAGGTGAGATATCCTTTATCTGAAATGCTTGGAACCAGGAAAATTTTGGATTTCAGATTTTTTTTATATTTTGGGGTATTTGCATTGTACGTGGTGATGAGGAGAATCCTCAATTTGAAAATTAGAAATCCAGTATGCTCCAATGAGTGTTTCCTTTGAGCATCATATCAGTGCTCAGAAAGTTTCACATTTGGAAGCATTTTAGATTTTGGAGATACTAAACCTCTACCGAAATCCAACTTAAGGTCCCATGGTCTGTGTTATTCTTTTCCATGCCTTGTATTTTTCTGCGTTCCCACCAACCCAGACTTCCTGCCTGGGTGAGTCCAAGTTTGATCTGCCTCTGGGGAAATCATAGAACCAGAAGTAGTGATAATATTTAACTCAAGGTTGCAAACCTTTACCTGGTTTTTCAACAGTGCCTGACATCCCAACTCTTTCCTTTGTCTTTTCCCTCCCCTACTATTTTCTTTTTTCTTTTTTTTTTATTAAATCATAGCAGTGTACATTAATACTATCATGGGGTACAGTGTACTGTGTCTGTATACAATTTGAAATACTTTCCTCCAACTGGCTAACATAGTCTTCATGTCTTTTTCTTAGTTATTGTGTTAAGACATTTATATTCTACAATTAGAGAGATTCACATGTACCCTTATAGGATGAACCATAGGTGGGAGGCGTGATCCCACCAATCACCCTCCCTCCACCTACCCTCCTCCCTTCCCTTCCCTCCCCTCCTCTCCCTCTCCCCTCCCTCTTCCCTCTCCCTATATTCCTGGGCTAAAATTGGGTTATAGCTTTTCTTGAAATAGTTGATAATTTCGAACTATCTTTACTCTCCTTACAATTTTCCTTGTTCCCCTACTTCCCTCTTCTTTCTCAACAGATCCTCTCTTTTTGCTTAACAGAAGAATCAGAATCTTTCCAGTAGGAGTCCCCTCAGTTTTCTCTAAGAACTCCATCAACCTTATGGTCCTACTTCCTTTCACTGCTTTCCAGTTAGAAGAGACACCTGTGTTTTCTGGATGAGGCTTGTCTTGCCTGCATTTATTCTTTCATGTCATTTTACCAGGAAAACTTAAAATAATTGCTTGTAACTCCTGTGTCCATTCTGTTACTTTGTTTTCTTTTTCATTTCTTTTCTTTTTTTAAACTACACTGGGCTAAGGAAGGAGGGTGAGGACATGTTGAGGAAAATCAGTCCAAATTGTCAGCCCCTGGGATCCAGAAGGGCAGCAGGAGAAGATTCCGTGTAAAGATGTAGCGGGTTGACCATTCCTGGCAGCATAAAAAAGATTTTGACTGGATTTATGGTCTGTGGCCCTGCCACATCCTTCCCTCAATCTTTGCTTACTCAGTTCATCACTAACCCTATCACCCCCCAGATACACTTTCCATTTCTCATCTAGAGTGACACCTTAGCAGTTGAAGACACTTAACCATGCCTTTATTATTAAATTACTTTGATAGCTCTATCTTGGTTTTTTTCCTGCTTGCCCTGGCATATGCTTGTCCTCTTTCACTTCCTGTTATCTTTGTTGCTGAAGATTCTAGCTTTAAGTTTCTAGTCTCACTCTGAAAACTTTTTTTTTGGGGGGGGAGGCAAATCCAGTTAGTATCATAGCTGCTAATCCAGCCCCTTCCCCAGTATGCAGTGGTGGCTTCAGACCCATTCAGTGACATCCAGAGTTAGCAGAAATCTCACATTCTGCATGTCTTAGACAGAACTTAGTATCTCATTCACACACGCCACCCCCAGTTAGTTCTCTACCATTTTCTTCATCTCTTCACATGGTGTTACTATTTGACACTAGTAAGTGTCAAACTTAAGACGTTTTCAGTAAGTATTATGTTGATTGTTTTAAGAGACCTAACATATTAGAGAATACTAAAGATTTCAAGACCTTCCCCTTACCTGATTTACTTTGAATTGTATTGAGTTGTGGTACTTAGTGAAAGGACCTCCTTGGATGTCCTTCTCCACTTCACCCATCACAGCCCAGGATGCGCTGCCTCTGCTCCCCCCGGCACCCCTGACACCTTAACACTTGGATTGAGAACACTTTTCTCATTATAAAGATTGGTAGTTTGAATCAAAAGTTTTATGTCAGGGTCACTTTTGCTTAAAGCAGCCTTTGTAAACTTGCTGGGACATTAAATAGCACCCACTCTATTGGCTTCTCACCCTGAAGAACTGATTTATAGATGAACATTGGAATAAAAATCTTTAGAAGATGTGTACTGCTTAGCCACTCCGATGAATTTATGTGTAGGACGTTAGAGCCCAGAGAGGCCAACTTACTACTGAACAGTGGGGGACCAAAGCTCAAATGGTTTAAGGAGCTTCCTTGACATCAGACCGCCAGTCAAGGGCTAAACGAAGACTCGAACCCTCCTGACTTTCAGTTTGATCAGTTTGATGCTTTTTCCTAGTTTCCCTTTGACTGACATTCTTTTTTTTTAAATCATAATCATGTTTTTTCTTTTTTGTTTTTGTTTTTCCCTAAGTAAAATTTTATGCTCCCAGTCTCTTGTTAATGTCTTTTGAAGTTTAGTGCCATTTCATCTTTTTAAGTGGGCTTTAGTACTTTCAATTTTGTCTGTACCAGGTAATTTATTGCAAACAATAGTGCTTATGTCTCTAAGTGGACTTACAAATACCTATGGATATTTATAGTCATGCAAAGAATGACATTGCTAATTATACTAAGAAAGTCTGGCCAGCTATTACCTATATTGTAGACATTTTTCATTCCTTGAAAGAATCTTTGGGGTACAAAGAGACAAGTTTGATGATCTAGCAAACATCATTTATTTGGACAAAAGGGATGTATGTTTGTGCCTGATACCATATGATGGTCACCTAAACACTTTGGCCCTACATTGCCACAGCGCAGGACAGAATAAACGATCACCATGTATTAACTGTTTAAAATGTATAATCTCTTAGCTATAATTTAAGAAGTACCCTGTTTGAAGCATTTCTAAGCCAAATATTTAATGGATTTACTTCTCTTTTTTTGTATAAAATACTGATAACTGTAATATTTTATTTTTATTCACAGATTATTATAAGTATAGGCCTCATGTTTTATGTAGTTCATCGAGCTCAAGTGGAATTGAATGCAGCTATTGTAGCTTGTGAAATGGAACTGAAAACATCTCTGGTTAAAGGCAATCAACCAAATACCAGTGGCTCTTCATTCTACAACAAGAGGACCCTAACATTTTCTGGAGGTGGAATCAATATTGTATGATTCTAACAAAATGTACGATTGTCAAGAGCCTAGTGTGCTGTCTGAGGTCTAGCAGTCACTTCACTAGCGGGCAGAAACAAGTTCTAATTGTATTACGGCACAAACAAAACTGACTAGTTTTTAAATTGCACAATTTTTTTTTTTTTAAAGCAAGAATCGTTTTCTGAATATGTAAGTATAAATGTAGATGCATTTGGCTGTACCTCTTTATCATGCCTGGATCGGCCTCACCGTCTGCACTTTAGTGTTTTTAATTGTTTTATTTCTGAGTACTTCTGAACAGAGAAATGACCCAAATATTTTTTTCTGCCTAGTGTCTTTATTTATAAAGTCTACAAATAGTTTTATGTATCTTTCCTACTTAGAAGGATGAGTAAAAGTATGCGGTTTTTAAATATATAATATTATTGGGTGGTCTTGGCTTTGGTAGCCTTTCCAGAAAGGATAAACAGTGCTTTTTGTTTTGTTTTGTTTCATTGTTTTAAGTGGGACCACTTTGCTTCCCAATTCCTTAAAAACAGATGAAAACTTTCAGTTGAATGTATTCTTGCAGGCGTCCCCTTGTTGAAGAGCCATTTACACCTGTTCACTAAAGCTTAAATCCTACGTTGTGGGACTAAAGTGCTCTTAAGATATCTTTTTATTTTCACTGTGTAATATGCAAAGCAAAAAGGAAATTATTTAATAGGTGGTGGCTCACAATCAGAACTCGTTTTCTAATTCTGTTACATTGGCTTTATCCTCCTTAGATCTTTCATCAAAGGGCTGTCCCATTGCAGTCGTACTAAAACATTTTATTGAAATGAACTTTTTCCTTTTTATATTAATAATTAGGCTTTGAAATAAAGATGCTGTTCCTTTAAAATGGTGGGTGTACCATCATTAAAGATGTCACTCAGGTGGCCTTGTTTGAGCAAAACGCCTTTTTAACAAACCAAGCTTTAAAATCATGTTTATAAGTCTATTGAAGTACATACATATTTGTCCCCATAGTCTTCAGCTTTAAAATTATTAACATAATATTAACTTAATGCCCAGTGTATTATCTGCCCTACTCTAGGTAGGCTTCTTTCGTTTGTTCTTTCGGTACTTGTTTTTCTCTGATAAGACTCAGGAATTCTGAAATGTGAAATTAAGTGTCTGAAGTCGTTCTCTTACCGCATGAATCAAGTGTGTTCATTAATAGCACTTACAACTATACAGTACAATGATTTGGCATATGGTTTATATGAAATATGTGTTATTCATGGATCACCTTTATTTTTAAAATAACTTGATGAGCTTTTTTTACGATAAAATGAGATTATAGATATTAATACAAAATTTCTAGTAGGTATGTCCTTTGATTTTGAAGATTCCAACTTATCAGAGATCTCCCATTTGCCTTTCCATTAGGGTAAAACCTTTGCCCCGATTTACTAAAGTACAAAGGAATTCCTTAGAAGCAGATTATTCTAGTCTTGTACGAGAGATGAATTTGATTATTTTAATGCATAAGTTTCTTGCCCTATTCAGATATAAAGGTTTTCCTTTTATTATGCATAAGTTTTCTCACTTTTAAGTGACAGAAAAGTTTGTTTATATGCCCCTACCAAGACTTCAGTACAAACACTCTGAAAGCCACCTGGATCCACAAGACATAATTGGTCTCCAGATCCTTCCATTATTGGTAGAAAAAATATATATACAGTATTGGAATATTCTTATTTTTTTTTGAATTCTGATTGCCTATTTAGATTTTTTGAATGATTTTAGTTTGACAGTACCAGCCAACAGTACATTTGATTTATTCTTTTCGAACTTGACAGATTTATCTTGTGCTTTTTGTTTATTGGTTAGTTTATTTAAGATCACCGTTTTTGTACTTGTTTTACACTTCATGTATTTTGAAGTGCATTTCTTTATTTAGCATTTGTGACTTGAGTAATTTCACCAAATGAATACTTTTCAGTTATTTGTAATGAGTTCTTCCAGTTATTACACTTTGCTTGGTACTTATAATATGTAAAGGTAAAAGAGAATTAATTTTTCTGTACTCTGCCCAGCATAATTTTATATACTAAATCATCCATTGTTTTTCTTAAGATAATATGGATTGACTATTTCTCAACTACGAATCTGTAGTTGCAGTTTTTCTTTTCTTCAACATCTCCTGCCTCCAAGTAAACAGTAACCTCTTACAGTGAAGCTACTTGGTAGGTGGATTTGGTTGCTGGGTTTTTAGGTTGTGCCCACTTTAAATTGTGCAATTGCCATGCCTTATTCATTCCATCTTTATCCCTGCATCCCAGATTTATGGCAGCAACACACTTCTCTGGGGTACTTTTATGTTGCCCAAATATTGCCTTCCGTGATATATTGTATTTATAAAATGTCTCCAGTCCTATATATTTATATAAATAAAATGTTTCAGCTTTCTCAAACTGTGTATGTCCAGTATAAAGTTTCTTAATGCACATTTTAAAAGCATACAGTACACCTAATTTCCAAATCAATCTGATAAAAAATATATTCTATTTTTAGTTCTTTGGGCTTTTTCCTAAGTTTTGTGTATTTTTTGGTATATTGTTAAAAATTGCATTTACTCTTTGCCAAATTTTGTCCTGTAAATTATTTTAAAGTAGCACCTTTTTTAAAAAAAAAAAATGTATCTAAATTGAGTGCTTTTGTGTTCATTTTCGTTTGATCATCTGATTTGCGCAATAACTTGAAATCTGTACTCTTTGGTTTGTGAAAGTAATACAACCAAATCTCTGTCATTCGAATGTGTATTTTATGTTCAGAAGTGATGGTACGTTTATCCACAGCCGGCCACACTTTCCCCTCATGCACTTCGTAACCAGCTACAACTGTTTTTAAGATGTATTTCCCTGATAGGGTCAAGTATATGAGTATAAAACATTTTCCTCTTTGGGAACTATTTTTTTTTTTCTCTCTCTCTTTGGAAACTATTAAGGTCAGTAGTTTTATTTGCCCTTGCTGTGGCTGAGCTAAGTGGTATAGATTCAAGTATATCCCAGGGATTCCTGTGTTTGTTATAATATGCACTGTTGATTTGGATTGTTCTTAGGGAAGGACTTTCACATATTAATATCTGTTAGCTCTGGGACTATGTTTAGAATACTTGAGAAAGTAACCAGGTGTGTGCCAGGTGGTGTAGTTTGATCCTTAGATGCAAGGTAAATCTATGCTGTTCACAGCCAAAAAGCATTTACAGAGAAAAAAGGAGGTTTGTATGGACCTCAAGAAACAATGGTCTTAATCTAAGTTGGTGGCCTTGTTGATAGAATTTTATTTCTGCCAGAGGCAATGCACTATATCAGAATGATGGTCAGTACAGCACTATCTGGGTTTAGATTAGATATGTTGATTTCTGTTGTAATAAAGTATTTAGGAAATAATTTTTTTAAAGGTTATCACTTTAAGGTGAAAAGCCATTAAACAAGGGAGAGGAATCACTGTTCTACAGTATATTCAAAACTCAGGAGTTCAAATAACCTCACATAGCAAACATACATGTTAACTTTTTCCACGACTAAATTATAATCTCATACTTCTGAAGTGTAAAGCAATTGCAAACCTTTTTCTAAGATGGCTGAAGATTTAAAATAGATCCTTCTAAAGTGAACCAGTAAGATGTCTTGGTAATTGATATCTCAAATCACTTGTGTGCCAGAGAAAATAAAAGGTACTATTTTATTTTTCTTCTCTCTTCTCTTTCTTTCCCTCTATACTTTAATGTATGTAGAACCACATCCAATGGGAGGGAGTGATTCAGGGGATAAGGGAAGATGTGCCCTTAAAAGTAGGAATGCTGATAATTGGCCTTATGTGGGTAGTTATTACGATAGAGAGGCCCTATGGAGAGATGATTCCGCTGTCTTCCATTGAGGCTCCCTCTTCAGTTTTTTTCCTGGCCTCCTAAGTCATGAAATGCTACTTGCTAGTAATTGTTACTATTTGTTTCAGCCTGCAGTAATATTTATGGTGCTCTTCATAATGTCAGAGGACTCTCTCCAGTCTCATTTTCTGTTCCTCACTACCTGGTTTCGTTGGCTATTTCCTGGAGGGCACATTCCAGCTGCCATAATGCTTTCATTGTAGTACCAGGAATAATATTTGTCCTTGTTTTGTTTGTAGCAGGTCTGTCTATACTGTTGTATGCCTTTTGTTAGCCATTGTGGGATAAAACCTCTTGCTAGAATACAAAATAGAGAGGCCCACAGGGGGTAACCACATGTTGCAGACTGCTTTCATCTGGAGCTGTGCCCTGGCATTGCAGTGAGCTAGAATCTAAGCTTGTATAGTACTGTTTGCCAGGCTCGCTCTCCTTGGTTGACAGTACCTGTTAGCACTCGGAGTGTGGGGAAAATGTATATAAATAGTATACTGAGTTAAATATTGAACACTTTTAGGGGTAGCATTATATGTATGGTGGCGTTAAAACAGGTATATATACACAGATGCTAAATTTATATGCAACCATTCTTTCAAGTTTCAACAAAGCTGATTATCCGAATCGAGTAATTACTGATATTACGATATCACTTCTTAAAAGTGACTCGGTATTCTGTAAGGTAGCCTGCTTGGATGAAAGACTTGAAAATCACAAAACATGCAGTGAAGGTGAATAGAAAAGTGACTAAAACCGAAAGAGTGATATAGAACCAGAAAAATAATCATTTGAAAATTTTTAATTTTTTAGGGTAGGTATACAATTAGAGCAGTATGTTTTATCAGAAGTATATATGTCTTAGGATATGTAAAATTCGCAGCTACTTTGAAGTAGTAGAAGCCAAAAGGGAATCCTTTGATTCTTTGTTAGTTATAAACCATTTTCAGTAACAATGTTTTGAAGAGTATCCTATTTAGTACTCTTTTATCTATTGTGGTCCTGGCCTAAGTTGACCTTGGCAGGAGAGGGAGGGAACTGAGTTGGTCTCCACTAAATATTTTCAGTGCATTACTCTGATTTTAAGTAAATGAACTGATTTTGTGTCCTCATATTTCTACTGTAAATGTATAATAAAACAGCTTTGTTTGGAATCAGCATTTTAAGTAGGTTTCATAACAGTGTGTTAAATTATTAGATGGACTTAGAATAGATTCTGGGATCACAGAATGTCTTACTTCCCTCCACTTGGCTTCTGGGAGCAGATGAGGACTGGCTTTCAGAGAAAACCAAACAGGGGTTTCTCCTACAAGGACTATCAGGTGCCAGGAGCAAAGACAGCCACAGATTTTGGGGAGACTTTGGCTTTTAAGTCTGTGGGCTTCTAAATGAAAGTTTTGATATTAGCCCTACCAGAATATGTCGGTTCTCCCTGCCTTACCCCCAATAAGTGGCTGAGAAGGAGCTGAATGGCCTGAGTGTTCCCTGCTACCTTAGGAGGA